TGTGTGTGTGTGTGTGTGTGTGTGTTTTCTGGTGAGGACAATAAAGCATTGAAGGAATTGCACCGCAATGTGAATTTACCACTCAATTCTTGACCACCCCCGCAGTTAGTTTGAGCCACATTTAACAGGTGAACCATTGAACCAGATGCGTGCATTTCTCTTAGCGCAATTTTACTCCCTTATTCTAAGAAAACGAATGTCAAGCGCACTACTTACTGCTCTTCGATGGAGGTGGAAATGTTGTAGGCCCGTGTGCTCCAATTTGGGTGCCCGTTAAAGAACCCCAGGTGGTCGAAATTTCCGGAGCCCTCCACACCGGCGTCTGTCATTATCATATGGTGGTTTTGGGACGTTAAACCTCACAAATCGATCAATACTCACTGCTCTTCCGAATTACAAGCACCTTTTATTTTCTCTAGCGTATCTATTTATCGAGCGGAAGGGTGATATAGGTTGCCGTTATGAATTTTTTTCACCATGCTTCATATTTTCTTAATTTTCTTTTACTCCCTATCAGACGCAGTTCCTTACCATCTCTGCTATTTCTCTGATCAGGAGGAAACCGTCGATTATTTTTTTTATCCTGGCGTCATTTTAAAATTCTGGGAAAAAGAATACTTGCGCCACCTCTCTGAAAGGTGGACCTGGCATTAACAAAATCGTTTTTTTTTTTTTCATTTGGGGCCACTACTGTGAGATAGGGTCACAAGGGTGTTCCCTTTACCCTCAAAATACTATCAATGACTCCTAAAGAATAATTTGCTACATTCTACCTGTTTTATTTTTTACGTGCTGCTAGCTGACAATTCGAATCAAAGAAACATAAAAACACCATCACATTGCGAAGAGCTTGAAGAGAGCCTATACGAAATAATGACTACAACAAGGCTTCGAAAAATGGGTTAGAATACATACACATATCATTGAAAAGCAAACAAACAACAGAGAAAGAGAGTAATAGTGGGGTGGACACTGCAGTATGTGATATGGGAACACTAACACGGAGTTAAAGCCCAGTTCTTATAATATGCGATGTCCACGAAGTTTGCTGTGGTGGTAATAGTCTCTTTATTATACCCGAAAAATGAGGGGACCAGCACAAATCTGGCTATGCTACTGTATAACAGGTGCATTGAAGAAGTGACTTACTTTCATCAAGAAAATGAGACAACATGCGTTTTCTCAAATTGCACATGCCTAGACTCAGCTGCAGAATGCAACACATGTGTTACCACGAATCCCGGACGTAAAGCATCTACTAATAACAGTTTAATTGGACTCGGCCAATCCCCTGCATTGGGTATAATACCTAGAGGAGAATTTGGCGCTAGTGTCTGCGCGGGCTCCTTCTGTGGCACTTGTACCCCTATGGGAATTATGAGAATCACAGCCTTCGGATCCGCTTCAAATTGATTACGCTCTTGAGATTCGCGACACTTGTTTTCCGAGTGTAAAACAAAGCGATATGAACTTTTACTTATTTGAAATTTGCTTCATTTATTTGTACACAAATTTTATTGCAAAAAAGTTTTCGTGACGAGGCGGCAAATGTGAAACCTCGGCAAACTTAACCACCAGGGTATGCATCGCTCTGCCATTGCGTTCCGAATTCGGCATCAAGACTTAACGAATTATTTTTCCCAACACAAGCATGCTTGTTTTCCTCTGTGAAGTACGCATTATCTATTTGTGAAAAGACCAGTACAGTATTATGCGAGAAACACTCAACGTTTCGTCTTCTCCGACGCTAGGTGCGTCTGTCCAAGTGGTCCGACCCCAATCAAGGAGGATTTAAAAAATTGCTGGAGTGGAAATCAATGCGCAGAAGTGAAGCCGTTCCTCTGGCAAGATGGCGGCTGTGGCGGCCATCTTACTAGGGGCATGATAAAGTATCGCCGTTTAACAATTAAAAACGAAGCGTTCACCTCGAACGCCCAACGAGTTTAATGTGGTAACTTTTTCGGGCCACATAGTGCTCCAAGTGCGTCTTAAAGTTACTAGTTTTCCGTAGTGAGCCTCTCATTGGAGGCGGAGTTCTTTGAAGATTCAGCCATCCATACTCGTTTCTGTGTGTTATTTCGTCGGGAACAACTATACTTTAATATAGAACTAACGTAGCATTTACATAACATATCAAAGCCACTTGATCTTTAAGTGGGCACTATCAGAAAATAGCATGTTTCCGCCATCTTGGCAGTGGCAATAGGTGGCTTCACTTCTGCTGGCAAGCCTTCGCAGGAGCTTCCACTCCAGCAATTTATTCTTTAATCCTCCTTGGAATTTTTCTTTAATCCTCCTTGACCCCAATGCACCTCTGGTTTTGTTGTAAAGTCGAGTCAGCAGACCGTGACGGTGCGTCTGCTTCGTCACAGTTTTTCGGTCGGTTTAAACGACTATAGGCAAGACTCACTCGCGAAAAAAAAAAAACTTGATGCAATATCCTGCAGAGGCATGAGACGCTGTATCTATGCGCCGTGGTGAGTGGACGACGCTTCGTTTATACTGTCAAATACGACCCGTAAAGCTCCAACGTCGCAGCAAATCGGGAGATATAGTGGTCGTCAGCCTCTTTGAACAACAGAGGCACTGCTTCGGCGCTTTTCGCCGCACCCCACTATACCCGCGCTGCACGAAGAACAAAACTGAAACTGTGGAAAGAAGTCCGTAGACAGTTCGCCAGTTAACCCTATCCAATCCGAAGCCTGTACTTCCCATAATTCCCATGGAGGTACACGATCGCAGCGCCAAATTCCTCATAAGGTTTTCTTGTATGATGCTCTTGTATGATTGTATGATTGTATGTATGATTGTATGATTGATTGATTGATATGTGGGGTTTAACGTCCCAAAACCACTATATGATTATGAGAGACACCGTAGTGGAGGGCTCCGGAAATTTAGACCACCTGGGGTTCTTTAACGTGCACCCAAATCTGAGCACACGGGCCTACAACATTTCCGCCTCCACCGGAAATGCAGCCGCCGCAGCCGGGATTCGAACCCGCGCCCTGCGGGTCAGCAGCCGAGTACCTTAGCCACTAGACCACCGCGGCGGGGCTATGATTGTATGATTTCTTGTATGATTAGGTGGGCAGATGAGATTAAGAAGTTTGCGGGTATAAATTGGCAGCAGCAAGCACAGGACCGGGTTAACTGGCGGAACATGGGAGAGGCCTTTGTCCTGCAGTGGACGTAGTCAGGCTGATGATGATGATGATGATGATGATGATGATGATGATGATGATGATGATGATGATGCTCTGTGGGTATGACCCATGATCAGACGAGAAAAACTGCAAGAACAGTGTACTGTGTTGTGGGTCGGAGCCACTATTAAGGAGCAAGCAAGCGAAGACGTCGAAGGACGGAGAAGTCGGTACACCATGGCAAGCAAGCCGCACCTTACCCGTGAGTTGTCGTAATGTCGTTGTTATTCTAAAATAATGCAACAAACGGTGTAAAGCTCACGGACCAGCCGAAGTAGAAGATGCCGCTTCTGCAGCCATTCCTAGCAGGCGCTATGTTCCTCGCTCCGAAGTTCACGAATTGAGCCGATGATATCGAGGTTGTTAGACCAAGACCATTTTGGTTCAGTGTTCTATTCAGTGTGGCGCACTATAAATTCGTGCAGCGTCTATTCACGATTTTGATTACACACTGAAAGGCCACCTAGATCAGTGCACCGTTCGCGTACACCACAAGGTTCTTTATAAGGAACGATACAATACAGTAGTGTCACGACGCTGTTTTCATAGGAAACGCAAGAAGTCAGCAGAATATAGTTGCAGAATAACCACAAGCATACTGTTGTGAAATGAGAAAGCGAAATCTTTCCTTTTGGAGTTGCTAAACCACCAGACGTGCTGCTACGGGGCTATTACACAGTAGTCGAAGAAAAAACCGATATGGCAAACAAGGACCGGGCGCGTATACTCTTTGCGCGTACTGCGTCGGTGGCCACGTGTTGCTCACGTAGGCACTCCTTGCTCGGTGCGCCGACTGTTCCTATGCACTTTCTTTCTCCCTACGAATCAGGCTCCTCCCTCCCCCTTGCTGCGGAGATTACCCTCCCCAAAGCCGTGGATGCAGGTGGGTGCTACAGTAACTGTTGGCACCGACGTCATTTCCGGTGGGAAAGCTTCCGTGCTTTCCGGACACGGCTTTTGCGGGCGTCTTTCAAGCGCCTGCATGCTTACGCCTGCCTGGCCAAGAAACGCTTTCGATTTGAATGCGTTTGAGAAATGCATAAGTACAACGTGATGGAGAACGGCATTATACATTAGAATTTCTCGAAATATGGAATCAACCTATTATGCTGTATAGGTTCCGGTAATTGTCTGTGACAGGTGCTCACGGAAATATTTCCAATACGTCAATTTTACTTAATCCTCCAGCTAGAGTTCTTTCTTTTTTCTCGCATATAAGCATGTGTGAACACTTAAATTTTCTTCCGCAGAAATGCTTCATACGACAACTGAACGTCTGGGCCACCAGGAACCTGTGTAAGCGGCCGTTGACTTGTTTCGCACCATATTTAGGAAGACCCAATATTTACATTTCCAATAACATCACCAATCGTATCCTCATTTACGTAGTTAACCTGAAGCTGTCTATCCTGTCAACTCTGCAATACTTAACATGAAGACACTTGGCAACATTAAAGCGTGTAATCACGTGAGAAGGTCCATTAACCATCATAAATAGGGGTGTATAGGTCACGATTGAATTTATACTTCAAATGCAATGATCTCGCTTCCTATAATCAATTTTCATTGCAAAGGGAAACTGTACATCCATAAAGGTAACCATCAGTGCCAGTTTTTCATTTAACTTTCCATGCTTCGTCCCAGCTGCGGTGTTCTCAGTCACTGTACACTCATCCTTGCCTGATTGACCGATTGGTTTGCTGATGGCAGATAGGAGACCTATTCTCATGCGGGAGCTTATTTCAGCAACCACTTGACGTTATTAAAATGTCTGCATTTTATTGACTCCACAGGATGTACGAGTCGTACATGCGCCGCATCGTCTGCGTCATCATGTCAGTCTTCAGTGTGATTTGCGTCGTCGTCATCCTCTACATAGCATTGACGCATACGCACCAGCATAAATGTGAGCAGCACAAACCATTGATACAGTAGTGCGATGACTCCGAAGAGCCGTCACGTATTCGTTACAAAGCCTGCGTGAGAATGATATCAGAATGGAATGAAAGAACTTTATTTAAAGATATTGGTAAATTAATAATTATAAGAAATACATATTTATTGTGGAACACATAACAGCTTTTGTGGTTTTACGTGCCACAGCCACCGTGGGAACATGACTGCACGCCGTTGTGAATGATTCCGGAAATTTCGATCATTTGGTGTTCCTTATAACGAATAGACATCTCACAGCACACGGGCCTGCATTATTTTTCCTCCATTGAAATGCGACACCCGCGGCAGTGGTCACACCCGTGTCTGTCCAGTCAGCAGCACGAGCATCTTAAACAGTTTACCGTATAGGGGAGTGACTGTGTTAAATATTATCAGATCAATCACACCTCTTTCAAAAGAGTATCTCATTCTCACTAGATAGATAGATAGATAGATAGATAGATAGATAGATAGATAGATAGATAGATAGATAGATAGATAGATAGATAGATAGATAGATAGATAGATAGATAGATAGATAGATAGATAGATAGATAGATAGATAGATAGATAGATAGATAGATAGATAGATAGATAGATAGATAGATAGATAGATAGATAGATAGATAGATAGATAGATAGATAGATAGATAGATAGATAGATAGATAGATAGATAGATAGATAGATAGATAGATAGAAATCAATTATTAGCTTCGAACTCTGAGTGATAGATAGAAAAGCAATTACTTGAAGGTTTCAAACTCTGCCACCTTTCTCACAATTCTTGTAACCCATTATGTTCTTCCACTCGTGCTAATCGCATTCGTGTCGGTTTTTGCCATGCCTACATGACAAGCTGATATGCTAGTGAAGAGGCGAGTGGTTTCAACTAGCAGCGCAGCTGGACCCTCGAAGAGGTCGGCGACCCGGACCATGAAGTCCAGCCATCATCCCGGTATGCTGCACGAGCGCTCAATACCATGCGATTCTCATACTCCCAATTATAGCGTGCAAATACTAGGAAGGTAACAAAAAAAGTCGGATGACGTTAGAAATTATGAAGCCTGTAATGCAAAGGAAAATGACTGACTTTCAAGGCATCAGATCTGCGCAAGACAGTTAATAGTTATGACTGATAAGCTATGGCCATTGACAGTGACAAGAGTTGAAGAAATTGTATGCATAAAGTGGAAGGCGCTGGCGCATGACACGCATATCTGAGATTACTGGGAGGGGCCCTCGTCGTACAGTGGACGTTGACTGATGATGATGATGATTATGAGCCTAATATTGATTGGGCTGCTAAAATTTTCATTAATTGAGTGACATGTCCAATCGGCGTACTCAGATTTAGACCTGAGCTGTTCAGTATATAATTCTACATCTACGTCGTTTGCGAATCATCAATGGTAGTTTACAGGTATTCCTCAAGAGGGTGGTATACATTCAACAGCTTATTACCGGTACTTACCTATATAGCAGAAACATGGAGGCTTAAGTGCGAGTTCATCTTGAATTAAGGATGACGCTGAGAGCAATGGAAGGAAAACTATGTATAACCTCATGGAACAAGAGGAGAACAGAGTGGGCCTGGCATTATTAAGGACACCTTAGTCGAAATTAAGAAGTGTAAAGAAGCGTGGGCCGGGCACGTAGCGCGTACACAAATAACCTCTGATCATTATGAGCGGCAGGATGGATTTCAAGATAATGCAAATGCGCCAGGGGGGAGGCCACGTTAGGAGGGCAGATGAAACTAAAAAGTTCGCTGGTTAACGTGGCCGTAGCAAGAACAGAACCAGATTAATTGGCTGTGCATGAGGTGGGCGTAGTCGAAATGATTATGATGATTATGATTATTGTGGTGGTGATAATGATGATGATGATGATTGTGGTGGTGATAATGATGATGATGATGATGATGATGATGATGATGATGATGATGATGATGATGATGATGATGATGATGATGATGATGATCGACCAGCATGCAGCCAACCCATGTACTTCCGCTGCCTGAACAGCTCGGACTACGATCGCGGCGAGGTGATCTTCGTGCAGCGGGATGCGGGATCTCGTCAGCCTGGTCCAGGATCGTGCCGACCCTGGCACCCGGACAAGGTCTGCGCCCGGGATTCTCAGGCGCACTTCCGCAAGCGCCGGGACTGCGTACAGACTTGCGAGCGTACGTCAAAGCTATGCTACCGCACTCACCGAAGGTGTCGATGAAAGTCATTGTGATGACAGCATGGAAAAAAAAGGTCAACTTAGGATTTATTTCAGGGGTCCGTATATACAGAAAACACAATCAAATTAATCAATAGAGTATTACAAAACGCCAGGTTATGCCTAGAGAACGTACATTGTTGTGTTTAGGTGAAGTTCACTGATTGTGACGTGAATAGAATGTGCATATATGTTGACACGCTCAAATGAACCGAAATAACAATAAATCCAGGGCAAAGGTAGAGGACGGTAACTGTCCTATTTCAAATGTTTTGTCCAGTGATAATTATTAGAATTCACACACGTCGCAATTCACATGGTGGTGATTACGGTAAGCACCTTTGCGAAGACATTCTCGGTGCTCCCAGAATTCTAATCTGGCTGTAGTAAATATGCGGTCTCCCAGAAATGCAATGTGCAGGCTGTCATGTCAGCCTTCCGACTCTCATTCAACATTCAGAAAAGGAGGTAGTCCCTCCCTATTTTAAAGTAACTATAGGTTATTCTGCAATGAGCGTATCGCAAACCGATGCACGCATTTTTAAAAGGAAAAAAATGCTGCTAAATTTAGTGAGCAGTTTTTGTTTTAAACATACCTTTAAGTTATGAAAAGAGCCGAAAGTCAGCTCCTCTGTGAAGCACGTTGCCTAGTCGTGGCCAAAAGCATAACTGTCGCCCTATATGCGCTATCTGCTGCCGTAACCAACACTGTCTGAAACTTAATCTCAATACAACCATTGTGTTGTCTCGGAAATACTCATCTGTGTATATATAGCTGAATTTCCTTTCATCAGGTGATTAATAAGTACTAAGAGCTGCAGGTACCTCGACGAAGACAAGAAACACATTTATTTGACGCATCGGCAGAGAATTGGTTTTATGAAGAGCGATCACTGGTGGAAACATTGAATTAATGACGTTTTTGTTTTATGCCCACTAATTTTCTATCTCTGTCCGTCTGTCTGTCTGTCTGTCTGTCTGTCTGTCTGTCTGTCTGTCTGTCTGTCTGTCTGTCTGTCTGTCTATCTATCTATCTATCTATCTATCTATCTATCTATCTATCTGTCTATCTATCTATCTATCTATCTATCTATCTATCTGTCTGTCTGTCTGTCTGTCTGTCTGTCTGTCTGTCTGTCTGTCTGTCTGTCTGTCTATCTATCTATCTATCTATCTATCTATCTATCTATCTATCTATCTATCTATCTATCTATCTATCTATCTATCTATCTGTCTATCTATCTATCTATCTATCGACCAGTTCGCAGAGACAAGCGTTGCCTGGGGCTTATCACGGAGAAGTTTCTGCGACCCTGCTCCAGGTCGGCCCAGGACAACCCTCGCCGGTTCTGGCACTACGACCGAGTGCGGCGGGTGTGTGTCAAGTGGGCACCCGCCATCACGTGCGCGTACAACGCCTTCCGCTCCGTCGGCCAGTGCAAGATGCTCTGCATGGTGCCACACCACGACGAATAATATCGCGCATTCAAGAAACGCCTGATCCCACCACCTTATCTTTTTGCTTTTTTTTAACAACGACGCTGTCCCTGGTCGAGTATTTCATGTCAGGAGACAATCGTAGATCTTCTTCTCATCGTGTCACGGCTCATGCCGAGTCATAGGTGATTTTTTAGTATCTACTTTGGTTCCTTACTCTTATAAGCTAGAAATCATATTAATATAATTGAAGTGCGAATTATTGGTAACTAAATATCGCGAGCAAGCTTGTGCAGCAGAAATTGAATGAATTCCACTTCGTATGTAAGCTACTTCTCCCAGTATTCCCACTATTCCCTACTCCCACAACTCACCGCGACGCCCTCTACAACTCACGCCACTTCCCGGTTCATATGTCACATCGGTCAACCACTTAAAATGATTGGCTAAGCCAAGGCTTCTTTGTAATCAACCTGCTTCGCTGTTTCATCAATGTGCGCCAAGCGGAGTCGGTTGAATTTTTGTTTAACCTCCCAAACACTACACCTCTACACCACTTTGCGCAACTTTCGAATAACGTGGGTTTCTGACACATATCACTCGCCTGCAGTATTTTGCTGAACGGTGGTCTCAACGAGACACTTAGGGCTTTCGCCTTAATAAAGGTCTAGTGATACCTGTCGCTGCAAACGTGGCACGTTACTGTCGACATGTGGCAAGGCCAAGTACCCCTCGACTCGAATGCTCGCTTCCCCTTTGAACTCTTTCTTCCTTTCTTTCTTTCGATGCCGAAAAGTAGGAATTAGAGGAAAGATTCAAATTGCTGTGTAGCCTCTGCTGTTTGTCAAAGCGAGTGCGGGTGACGTGTTCGATTTCAATGGCGAAACCGTTCGAAACCCGGCGAAACCGGCGAAACTTAATCGCAGAAAATTATCCTGATCTTAACGCCTATGTGCCACTGAGTGGTCTACTAGAATAATGTCATTATCATTAACGAGTACCTATTGCGTTAACCCCACTTCTCCAGCCTTGTCCACTAAAACTAATGAAGGCAAAAGTAAGCCCAACAAGTGGCTGCTATGTGGCAGCAGTGCAACGAAAGCACAAGGGAACGGGGAATGCAGTGGGTCGACTCCAAAGCGATCAAAGTCCTTCGCCAACGAGGACGAGCCCGTAGATCTCTATAAGAGTATGCGAACCCTTGGTTTCAGCGCGAGCATCTGTCTCTGGAATTCGGGCAACCGTGTCGTGTCTGTGAGTGTACGCGCTTTAGCTCGAATCTGTCTGCGCTGAGAATCGGCGTAGAAAAAAACAGCGTGGCGTCGCCCACCTACAAGCTATAGCAACAACCTGGAATTGACCTCGAACGGGCATCCTCTTATTAAGACCTACAAACGACTTAAAACCGACAAGATTACTTTAATTGTACAATTTCGCTGTTTAAGCCTCGCGTGGCTTAGCACAAATATCGTAGATTTTTTTCAAGAAACAGTAGGATCGGGCGTGTTGGTATAACATGATAAAGAGTGCTTACCAGCGCAAACGACAGGGCAGGAGGGGACAGGAGAAGGGACGAGACAAAGCGCTGACAGCGCTCTTTCTCGTCTCTTCTCCTGTCCCCTCCAGCCCTGTCGTTTGTTCTGGTAAGCACTCTTTATCACGTCAATTTTATACCCACGTTATTTATATTTATTTACTCCAACTTTTGTCTTTTGATACGTATAGTACTACGACCCTTAATCTAGCACATAGTACTGTGACTGCTGTGCTGTCAGGGTAGTGTCGTTTCGGCCGTATTTTGGGTTTACAGGTGGCAGGGACACTGTCAGACTTTTTGCCTTTTCGCCGGTCCCCCAGGTACATTGTCCTTTGTCTTTTGCCCGAAATAAACTAACTTCAGAGCTAAAACATCAGTTTCGAAAAATTTACGTAGCCTTTGTGTGAGGACGCCTACCAGCACACTCACTTCGAAAGGGTATAGATTTTCTTAGGGGCGAAGCACGTTGAAACCGCACGATGTCTCTCCGTTCCTTAACAGCCGTCTAGAGTCTACAGCACATGTAGAGAAGCATCTGTGAACGAGAAGGTTGTCAAACGATTGTTAACCGGAACGAGCGAAATAAAGGGCCAACACGCCGGAAGAGTCCCGACATTTCGCCTCGCATCGATCAAAACATATGACAGAACAAAAGGTAAACAAGAACAAAAGTTAGGCTGTAAACCAGAATGAAATAGAAGGCCGTGGTTCATGATGTGATCCACGGTGCTTCGTCTCTTTAGCATTGATTTTGTAAACGTATCAATTTTGCACACAATTGCTTACGGGACGCTTTATGCTCTCCCATTGTTGAGTACCTAGTACTCTAAATCGTTAACTACTATCTCTAAACAACTAAGTAGTCTTTTGTATATTGCAGGTGCATTCGAACGTTGTTGGCGGGGCCCACGGGACGGCTTTTTGCTCTCCCATAGTAGAGTACCAGGTACTTTAAGTCGTTAACAACTTTTTCCAACTACACCAAGTACTAAATCGTTAACAACTTTTTCTAAACACACACCTGTCCCATAGGCAAATTTTCCTTTGTTCTGTATGGTTAGTTGTGGACTGATCAATATACTGTATGGTATGTTTCTCTATGGTATGGTGAAACAGCGCACTTTTGATAGGGACTATCTCTGACCGTGGTAATGTAGGCTATACTTCCCATACGGTATAATGTCATTTGTTCTTGCCTAAAATAAACTGCAACTTCAAAGCTAAGAAATCGGTCCGGGAATGTTATGTAGCCTCAGTTGGAAGGCGCCTATTCGCACCCTCACTTCGAAAGGGTAGATTTTTGTTTTTCAGCCGCATGGTCGGCGTAATCTACACGAATCGACGCCTTCAAAGGTGTGACCCAGGCCACGTCGGCTATAACCGATTCCGAATGAAGTGGAGCGCCTTCCTTTCTCTCGCATAATCGCTGCTACTGCGAATCGGACATTTCTGAAGCACCGATTCTTACGATCTTTGATGTCCATCCACCAGAACATATAAGGGGGGTGGGAGGGGGGAGAACAGCGGCAAGCCTAGGAAAAAAATTTAGCAAATAACATTCCGTTTGAATCAGTACACCTCTTTCTCTCCCATCTTGCTTTTCCGTTCCTGAAGTTGTTCGGCTGCAAGACAGTTCAGTCGTATTTGTAAACGAAGTCCCAAGTGCCGACCAATTTGGTATGCGGCTATCTACAACGAAAAATCAGTGAGAGAAATCCACGAAAAAGAAATAAGGAGCACCCTTGATCAGCACTCCTTCTGGTACTTTTTTTTTCATGTATAGGCACTGCTTTTTTTTTCCCACTGGCTCTCTAATTCTCTTTCGTTGTGATGGAGCACGTTTTCGATATACGGACTTTCAGCTAGAGCCTACGTCATTCCGAATACAAAGCAAACAAAATGCGGCAAGAACGAATCGAAACAAGTTTCTTTGGCCAGCTAGAAGAACCCAAATCGTGAAACCTCTTTCGTCGTGATATTATTCCCTTCCGTCCACTTTCTTTCGCTGATTTTCCTGTGATTGAGCGTGTCTTTGATAAGAAGCTTTAGACAGTCCCAAATCTTATCGTGTGTCCGCGTCATGCAAACGACAACGCAAACAGCCAGGAGTGCCCGACTTGTCAAACCTCTTTCGTCTCGATATTACTCTCTTCCATCAAACCCAGTTGACGCAAGAACGAGCGACACGGCTCTGCCATTAGTGTTGTGTAGACCGCGCATATGCAAGCAAGTCGAACCTATACGCAGCCTTGACACCGGACAGTTTCGACTCAGCACGGAGGGTGCACTAAACAAGAAACGGCGCACAAAGTGATAAACGTTTCGATTAATGCATAGCGTCCGATTAGTCGCTAGCGTTTACCACGTTGCCTCACGTTTTGATGGGTCGTTTCGTTTCTTTTCCGCTCAGTTGCGAGGCGCTACAGTCGAAAGGGAGGTGAGAAAGATAAGAGCGTTTCCTAACGACTTTTAGTCCGAGTTGTCGATGTCCAAGTCAAACTCAATTTTGTTGTCATTGTGATTAGTGTATTTGTGCGGAACTGTTGATGAATCTTGGTGTCGACTGCAGGAGCTTGGCCATGGTGCTGGGCGTATCAGGCGGAGAGGTACAGCTCCTGCGAGTGTAGGGATACGGCTAAGGGATGGAGAGGGTGGGGGATGAAGGGTAATTGGTTTAGAAATAGCCTCGAAGACAGCGGTAAACGCATTACTAAAATCAAAGCGTGTTCCAGGTAGCCTTTTTTTTCGTACTTGAAACCGCGCTGCCAGTTTCTGAAAAGCGCAACGAGACTGCAGATCCTCAAGGCGGAGTTCTTGGGGCTCATCGGGTATTATTTGCCGAGGCGAAAGCCTCATGTGCCCCGTCAGCCTTGAAAAATTCGTCATGTCGTACACACACTCATGTGACCCTCGAACAGGGGTCAAACGCAGATATTCTGCGTGGCAGTCAAGTGTCCTACCAAAGAGCCGTGCCAGTGCCTGCGACTGCTTTGGAAAGAGATTCTATGCACAGCCGTCATATTAAGCACAGAGTGACGTCAAAGAAGTAACATTACGTGGCGGAAGCGTAGAATGCCACCCCATTAGAATCGGGTAATGAGATGGTGTTGTAAAATTTCACCCCCCCCACCCCTTTCACAAACGGCCCTGAACTCATTCGTCATCATCATCTAATCGTTGTTGTCGTCGTCGTCATCTTCATCATGATTCTGAGACGCAGCAGTAACAGCATCCACAAAAGCTGCGTTCAAACTCTAGTGAACAACGTAGACAGTCAACGTTGACAGCTTAGAAGACGGCAGCAAGCAAATACTCCGCGTCTGGATCACGCCTGCGCGGCCCGATGTCACCTGGCGTAGAGATAAGAAAGCTGAGAAAAACAAACGCACCTGTTATTTCATTAGCTTCTTTCATGCTCATATCTACGAATCATTAAATGCAGCTTACATTCAGCGCACCGAAAAGCGTCTTGTGTTCAGACAATCATACAGGCGATATCCGA